CTGTTTAACACTGTTTTTAAAACTGTGTTCAAATAAGCCCCCTAAATTAGTTCTTTAGGCACTCTTCTATCTGTGCAGTTATAGAACCTGTCTACAAAACAAAGGTCATTACTCCCATCCTATGAGCGGGAAAAGCACAACAGGAATGGGGGTAATGATTTGCCCACAGCCATAAGCAAGTTAGTGTTTTCAGGCCACTGTTTTATCCTCTGGTCCCCCTGCCTTATACTTACCAAGCACATCTTGTTTACAGTAAAGAAATTAAACTGAAATAATAAACCAATCAGTATTAAATTATTAACATCTCTCTTTTTCAATACTGTGCTTTGTAGATGAGGACAGAGAGACAAATGTGTTTATAATGTTCAATCTGTTGAACCTGAAAATAAAAGTGTAGGCTGCCTAACCTAAATATAGTCATCAACTCATGGAGTTGCCACCATATTCAGAGTGTCTGCCATGCAGTACTAGAAAAGATTTTTTAAAGCAAAATTCCACTGAATGTGCTCATAAATATTAGAATATTCTTGACATGCTATGCTGAAAACATTCAATCTGAGCTGTGAGCAACTAGCATTGCATATCAATTTTTGGAAAATGCTAGTATTTGTATCCAGAGATACTACCAGCAATACAAAGTGGCAAGATACCGAAACTGGCATTATAATGCCTTACACAATTATTTTGGGTCGAAGTATCCCATTGTACATAAATTCACATAATGAAGTTCAGTACAAAGCAAACTAACAATGAACTTGGCACAGAGAAACAGATCAGCAGCTGCGCTGAGACTTCAATGGAGAAAACTATTTCAGTGCTCGATGTGTACACAAAATTGTCTTTGAAATTGGAATGCAAATAATATACATTAAAATTAAAATTTCTTAAAATAAAATTCAGGCTTGCTTAAAATATAAATCAATTCCAGAATCAAGGTTTTTGGAGAGCTGTGATTAGCTGATGAGAGGTGTTTGAGACAGATGATACAGTAGCTATGATGGCACTGTATCATTATTGCCTTGCTTTCTTTTTTCCCCACACTAGTTGTTATAGTTCATGTATATGACTCTGAATATACTTTTTATAAAATCTTTTGGAGATACATTAAGAAGTCAACAACTGACAGAAAACTTGTCTTCCTCTATGGCTGGAGGAAAAATGGAGCATATTATGCAAATGCAAAACAATGCAGGCATTACTCAATACAAACAATGCTAAACAGTATAATTTAAAAAAAACCTCTCAAATGCAGTCATTGATTTTTCATATCTGCATTAAAGGTCTCCATTCTACATAATTACATTTGGTAGGAAACATCTTTAAATGATGTCGTGCCTATTTACAAGGAATTAGGAGAATATTATACGAGCAATGTCAGGAAAATACATTTTGCTGTGACCGTTTTTTCAAATACATTTCCTCCCCCAGTATTTAAACCAGACATTACTACAACTGCTACAAAGAATACCGATTAAAAGAGAAGGGCTGGTTTGTTTGTGTTTTAAAAACAAATCTTTAGAGATTTTCTTCCCTTCCCTTTAGGATGTATAATTGGCCAAACTCTCACCTTTTTAGCATTTAAAAAGTCTGCTTCCATGTAAATGTATCCACCTAAGGGCTTGCTCTAAGGGAGACCAGGTGGGAGATGGGCAGAGGGTTTTCAAAAGAGGGAAATGAGCTGGGTATTGGGGAATCACCCAATATCCACATGGTAAAGGAAAGACTGGTTCTGGACCTGGGGAAACCCCTATCAAGGTCTGCCTATGGATGCAAACTTTATTCATGGATCAAGCAGCTGTCAGGTGAGATGTGGCAGATGATTGTTATCTAACCAGCCTTCACCTCTGTGGTGAAGCTTCCTGCCGTAACACCTGGGCCAATACAAGGGCTCCCATGAAGTGTCTTGCCTCCTCATCAAAATGCCTTTCCTGACCCATGGAAGAGCTCCCTTTTAACAGTACCAGCATGTGTCAGATGTCATGCTGTCAGATCATGTGGATATTTTAGCAGTTTCCAGGTATTGCTGAAGATGGCAATGAGTATGGTTTTGTAGGGCAAAGTCTGACTTGTTCAAGAGAACAACATTGGAGGCAGGCCTCCAGAGGAGGTGGAAGTCCCTCCCAAAATGGGAGCTACATAGTTGGAAAAGATCAAATGTACACCTGCACAAGTTTCCATATCAGTTTTGAACCCTGCTTGGTCTGCCTCAGCATTTGAATGAGGCTGAAGGTGTGGACTGAGATCCATCACTGGCTCTGTAGCACTGCCAAGCCCAACACTTGTGCTCTTTGCCACAGGGCAGGAAGAAGTAAGTGGAGGAGCCTTTTAACCTTCTATCAACATCAAACCCTGCTGCCCTCAGTAACACAATCCCTACTTTGCAGCAGGTGCTCAGTGCTGCCTGAAAAGCGTCTCTGGGATACAAAGCATTACATGGACCTCTTCTGAAAAAAAAAAAAAAAAAAAAAACAAACCAAAAAAAGAAACTAGAGATAAAAAGAAAACTATGAGAAAAAGAAAAAAGAAGGGAAAAAGAAGAAAAATAAAGAGAAAAAAAGAAGAAAATGAATGAGGAAAAAAACTCCACAATGACTGCTGCTTTTGTTTTGCACATCTTCCACCTCTACAAAAACACACAGAGGATAACTACCCGGCAGCCCATTGTCAACATCAGCCCACTGAGGATGCAGAGTGACTTCCACCTTTACCAGCTACCACAAATCACTTCCCAAAGCTGCCAGCCCACGGCCTGCATTTGACCTCCTACGTTTGTACTCTGATATACTCTACATCTCAAACTTTTAATTAAAAGGAGAAGAAAAAAAGTTCATCCAAATCAATTCAAATGTACCGTTTCTCCCAATTACTGTGAATGCAGAGGTCATCATCATATTGCATCATTACATTGAGGAATAATCTAGCATGAAGGCCTATAAATTAGCTTAAATAGCTTGAGTGTTTTCATCCATAACAGCATATTTCATAAAGATATACCACTGCTTTTCTGTGTACAAGAAGCTAAATTGAACAGGCACATAACATCTCTTTTATATGAACTTTAATGAGAAGAGCCTGATATGAACCTTCCCCCACCACCTATCTATGAAATTTAAACATAAGAAAAAAGAGATCTTATTTGGTGCTTGCACATTAGACTCTGATGCTTTTGATTGACTTTTTTTTTCTGAGGAATGCACCACATTGCTGGCACTTCTATTCAAAACAAGCTTGTGTTTTAAAGGAAAGGGTTCAATATTTACAGAGACATATATAAGAACACTACTGACATAAAACTCTAAAATATAATTACAACTTAACCTAAGGAATCATCCATTTTAAGAGAAATAATAGCTGCATGAAAAGAACAACCCAATCCCCACATTTTTATCAAGGGATGCTAGTTTAGGATACTGTATATCAAACCTCAAATACCTTACATACTTTCATGTCCTGACAGTGGATTACCTTTCCAAAAAAACCACTGCAATGCACCTATTTGCTATAAACAAGTAAAAATTTTTATAGAACCCATGTCGCATGCTGAATTCTTAACAAAAAAAATAAAGTAAAATCAGAGAGAGCTCCATCAGTTTTATTTTGGAGTACTGGTGAGCACATACATAATGACTTTCACCTCTTGAAACCTTTCCGCTTCATTCTTATGCATAGACTTGAAGAGACATTTATGTATTTGGCTTGTTGCATCAATTCAGAGGATAGAGTTACTGTAAAAATTTACATTACTGCAGGCTTGTAGTGACGAAGCAGGCAAGCACAAGAAAAAAGCTTTTATTGCATTTATTTTAGATTTGATGGAAAAGTGTAGTCATTTGGTATGACAACAGCCATCATGAAATTTCATTTGTTTATTGATTAAATTATGTTTTATTTAAGCAGAATTTTTTTGAAAACATTGAAATTTCAAGATAAAGCACAAATTGGACCTATCCATCCAGATGGTGTTGCTCCTGAACTGATCATGTATTTCAATTTGCTGTACCCACTTTAGTTTATAGTTGTGACATTTGCAATGCACCAAGGACACTCACTGAAAATCAAAGTTAATTTGAGTAAAACAGTATTCTATATACTCTCCACACCAAACTCTTTAATTAAAAACGAGAAAAAAAGTTTTTGTTTCTCCTATAATGCATGAGTTGCCTATAACAAAGACGGCACTTTATTTAAAATGGATTTACAGAATTCTTTATTAAATAAATATATTTTTAATTCTCAATGGCTTAGGTTTTACTGTAACTCATTACTCTGTTGAAGGTCTTGGAATTACAGGTGGATCAGTCCTTTGGTGCAGATAAGAAGGTGAAGGACAGATTTTTAAGAACTAAGCAGCACTAATTTTCAACTAAAGGTACAGCTTGCTGGCAGCCTGAGTAGACCTCTGAGCTTTTCCCCCACTCCTGCCAACAGCTTTTTTTCCTGTCAAAAAGACAGGATGAGGCACAGGCTGAGTTAATTTTGGGCTGGAAGAGTTCCCTGAACCTGCATGCAGGTGCAAAAAAAAGAGGACAGCACTGCGCAGGGACAGATTTAGATGGCTGAAAATACTATGGGTCACCTTGGTTTGAAATGCACCACGTTTCCAATAACTAATATAAGTTTTAATCCCCTAAACTCTCAGACATAACACTGTTTCTTATATGCAACCCTACACCCATTCATCTGATTTTTCTTGATTTATTTCTCACCTCAGTTATTTCAAAAGACTCAAAGAAGAAAAACACTTTGTCCCCAAATCAAATTTAAATGTGTATTCCGGGTTCTTATTATTGGGCTTTGTAAGTTTTTAACCTTGTTATGAAGTCATTCAAAGCTGGTAAAAATATTTCTGATTCAATAGGTTTTCTAACTGTATTTTTTTTGTCTTAATAGAACTACTGTATTACTAAAGATAACAAACCAGGTTATAAGACAGTTAAGACGGCAAATACTTGCCTGCAATATCAATTACAAATAATAGGAATTAAAATCATTGTCAATACCTGTGGTTAAAGGCAGATGAGTGACACTAGTTAGACAGGTGAGAGTAAACCAGGTTGATGCTAATGTTGCTCCAGATAAAAGCAGCAGCAGTATAAACTTCAGCATGCCCCTGATAAAATCTGCAAACCTGAAATAAAAGCACAGATCAGAGCAGTACAAATGCTGATTTTCATATTTTTATTTAAATGCGATGCTTGACAATTAATTCAGTATATTCCCCTTAAACATTTTGGAGATTATAAAAAGAACCTAAAAGTTGTTTCTCATTTTCAGGAATAGAAAAAAAAAGGCGTTTTTATAGAATGGTGATATTTCTAGCTGTCAAGCTGAAGAGCCACGGATTTTTTAGCTGTCAGGAAATAACAACCAAACCAGAACAATTCTCAAGGCATCAAATGAAAACACTTGGTATAGAGGAATGGTTTGTTTTTTTTTTCCTTCTGCATTTGTTGGACACAATATCACACCACTACTTCCATTGCTGCTTTGTCAGTGTTTGCCAGTCTCCCTTGGCAGACACAGAACTCCATTAGCATATGAGGAGGCTGCTGTGTTTCATTCAAGACACAGATAAGTGTCCAGATTCATTTTTGTGGGAAATGACAAAACTCCAAATACCAGAATCCCAAGCTGAAGATGACAAGGAACAGCTTCTGAGCCCTTGGATGCGCTGGTGACAAAGCTCTTGGTGGCTTAGGCAAAGGAGGAACTCTTTATACAGGGGGTCACTCTGCCAGTGGCTGTTTTGAGTTGAAATGTTCCAGAAACCAAGAGCTTGGTGTCACTCCTCTCCTACACATACCCTGTTGACAGTCTGGGGAGCACAGCCCCACAAGCCCTTGGGTATTCTGGCTGTTATACCACCTGATGACACAATTGCTTTTTTAATTTTTTTTCTTTTTCTTTCAAGGAGATGGGGATGCATTTGAGCAGTGCTCACATGGCATAATTATCAGTGCAATTGCTCTTTTCAAAAGGGATTTCAACCTAGCTACTAAAAAAGATATATTAGAAAAGCCCATGTCATTTATTCACAAGTAATTTTCTATAATCTCCTGCTTAGGAGATGTGATTTTGGGATGGATAGGTTAGGGATGTATGTCTCAAGCATATATTCTACCCTCACAGCCTCCCACCTTGATTAGCCTAATGGCAGCATAATCCACCTAGGTCAATCTGTGATGAAATTTGTCCATCCATCAGCTAACTGCCTTCTCTGCCCTGACAAAGATCACTTTACAAGCAGATGCCTCATAGCTTAATTGATAAAAGAGACAATGCTACCAACATTTTGAAAACTAGGAACCTCAGCTCCACATATACCATAAGAGATGTAGGAGTAATGCAATCAAACACCCCTCACCCTCCCAAACCAACTTCTTTCCTCTTGTTTTGATTCTCCCTGTGTTTAATTCCACATTGAATTTAGCAGTCAGTAATTCAATAAGCAGTAGTGGGAGATCAATGCTGCATATCATCTTAAAAGTTTATGACTGCAGTGTTGAAGTGGCTTATGCATTCATCTCCAATAGCAGAGGTCAGCTGCTACTGTTGCTTTTCCTCTGACAATCCAATCCAGCAATCAGGATCATCTCACTGGTTTGGCAGTTTCTTTAATTATTCTTTGGGATCACTAGGGTCAAAATCAGCAATTTTAAAAGCTTTGCAGAAGCACCTCGAAGTGTAAGCTTTCAGCTTCTTCCACAGAGACTCCCTGTCTTGCCTGCTGGCAGACAACATCATTATTCTCTGTCCTTACAGGCAAATGCAGTGATGTAGATCCTGTCTAATGAAACATACTGTGAGAAATATCAGCCTTCTGGGAGGGACATTCACAGACAACAGGTCTGGAGGTAATCTCTAGGGGATCCTCCATCTCTATCCTACCACCAGGGATACGTGGAGATGGGAGGATGATACGCATCTAAACCATTCACAACAGTTCAGTGGAGAAAATATCTACCTTTACTGAGCAGCTGCAACTCTTTTTGACACAAAGATCCTGGTTTGGGTAGCAGTGTGCTCTAAGGAGCTCTCAGATATCACAGGAGTCTGAAAGGGTCAAATGTCCCCCAAAGGTAAAGGTTCATGCAGGCTACTGAATTCAGCCAGCAATAGAAATAATGGGAAAAAAATAACATAGCAACCTAGCCTGAACTTGGTAATTGAAGGACTTCTGCTTGTCTCGTTACAGGAGAATAAAGAAGACTGTAAATCTAGTCAACTCTTCAGAATACTTGTTTCAATTAAAAAATTATTTTTATCCTCTGACCTGGGTATCTGCTTTCAAACCCCTCTGTTCTGTTTAAATCCTTCTTCATCATCTAGCATGTAAGGGGATGTCTGCAACTGCTAAAACAGTAGGCACAAGAGGAGATAAGGTGTATACTTACCCAGACACAGACCTCTGAGCCTACTGCTGGTACTAGTCTCCAGCATCCCAGGAGATCCAGCCCAAGGCTGTATCCTACAGTTAAAATCACAAACCTGTGTTGCTGACAACACTGTCTGTTGCTAAGGAAATTATCACCATGCCATAAAGTTTCAGCACTTTGACTACACTGCAGGTTAGAAGTGGGAAGAAAAACTGAGCAGCAGAGGACAAAACCTCAAAAAATCTGCGACCATTGGTGAATGGGGGGGAAAAATAATTTAAAAATATGAGGAAAGGGAATAGATTTATGCTTCCATGCAATGACACAAATGTTGCTCTTTGACACTGCTTTTCTTCAAACCAGTAGCGTTTGAAAGCTGCCAGCAAAGGGTACAGCACCTGTCAGCTGCCCAAAAGGCCAGGTTTTTCAATTATAAAAATGCATCACACAAATTAGCTAAACATGTAAGTTCACAGCTATCAGGACAGCAGTGGGTGGAGATCAGGAGGATTTATATATAACGCTGAGGAAAACTTGCACCACTTTGAAAATGAGATAGAGAAAGAAATTTACAAACTGGGCATTACTTTATATATAGATGATTTAACACCTACTGTGATGTGCAGGACCTAATGTTCCAGGGCATTGCTCTCAGGTTGCTAAGAGTTCTAAATGATAGAATCTGCATTGACAAAAACGGAAAGAGCACATGCCTAAACTGCACCAATTTTGCTTTGATAAATTAGCAGGGAAAAAAACCAAACAATGAAGAAACCCCCACCCCAAAACTAACAGCTTCTTAAGAGGTGGTTAAGGGAGAGAGCTGCTTGCTTGGCAAATCACAGTTCTGACACTGAAATATATCAACTTGTCAGCTTTGACAAGAATCATTACTTAATTTTCCTAATTACAACTTTTAGCAGATTACAGTCAGACTCGTCATTGATTCAACCCTACACAGATAAATGCTGAATAGGCCTAGGAGGGAGAGTCATCCATCAGGAGTGACAAATCATCTCCCTCCCTTTCTGTATGCGAACCCTCCCATTTGAACTCTGCATTGCCCAAGTTAGAAAGACATATTTGGAGACAGACTGCTGGTATTTCCTAAATTTACTGAATGCCACAAAATATGGGTGTTCAACCAGGTTTGAAATCAAAGGTTTGAAGCAGTTAAAGCTACTGTCAGCGTTTCCTGAAACTTAACCCAGGCAATATATTAAATAAATTAATCTACCATAAAGACTGAGATTTGCATGTTGGCATTGAGTCAGCAGACTCTCTCCTAAAAAAGTTAAGTGAGCTGCTAAGGGTGCCCCTCTACCACTGAAATGTTGCAAATATACTAGAGATTAATTCATGGTGGAAAAGATTAAACTAGCACACTACTTGTGCTTCAGCACGCAACCTATGGCATCTGCGTCATTTACAACAGTTGGTTTTCAGCATCTCTTACAGAGAAAACCTCGTTATCTGAGCTTAGTTAATCAGAAGCAACTCTTTTCAGAGGAAGTCAGGGCATGAACTTTGTTTGGCTAGAGTCCTTTGGCCTGCATCTGGAGTGGATGGGAGAGAAGCGCTTGTTTCTTTTCCCTAGGTCAGGAGTTTTTTCCTCTCCTTGTTGCAGTTGCTAGGCAGCCTGCAAAACGTCAGGATGAGAAACCTCACATTTCTTTATGCATTGTGTACTCTCTGATGAAGCACATGAAATAGCAAGTGAAAAAAAGAGAGTTTCAATTTCTGTCCTAAAAAGATCCCTCCCTGTGTCCATAATTCTGCAAGGACTACAGCCATTAAAGATCTCTGCACTTGCGCTAAATTCATTGCAGAACTGGAGTCTAAAGAGTGGACACAGAGAAGCCAGGACAATGCTCAGGTATCACAATGCAAGGGGAATGTGTGATTGGTTTTAGACAGTTTTATAAACTCATTGCTCGAGTATCTCCTGAAAGACTTTTTCTTCCTCCCCCTATCTCTTTTTCTAAAGAGAACCTCAACACAAAAAAAAAGCAGTAACCTTTTAGAAGGGCAATCCATGCTTTGCTGTTCCTCTCCCCATGTCATCATCATTCATGATGGCCAGAGCAAGCTGTGTCTGGATTTATAAAAATGCACAGATTTACCCATACTGTAGTCTGTAGGAGTACAGCAGAAAATAGGCTACACAGGAATCCAGCAACTTGGCCAAAATGGGCCCAGACTAATTTCTCTGTGGAGGAGCATAACATGGTGGGTATGCTGCCTGTACTACATTCCCTATATCCCTTTAGGAATCAGTATGCCCAAAAGTGTTGATGGAAGGAGACAGACATTAATTTCTTCAATGCCTTCCAAATGTGCTACAACAGGTTCTCCTTTATACCAGGCAGCTAAATTCACAAGAGCTGTGTTTAAAAGCAGCATACAGGAAGCCCTTGTCAGGAGTAACAGTCTGACTTGCCAAATTCAGGTATATGCATGTGGAATTCTCAATCCCCAACAACCACTAACCTGGTACAAATTATTCCTCTACAAGAAACACATCATAACCCCAGAATGCATTTTCCATTTGAAGTTTCCAGAAGAAGAGAGAAAACAAGTTATGTTACTACGAAGATAAGCTAAATGACAATCACAGTTGAAGAAATGAAGAAGGACTTGTAATTATTCCTACCTTGCCATTGCTATGCCAACAACGCAACCTCCAACTATAGACCAAAATCCAATCCAACCTGCATCTACCTGACAGGAAAAAACAAAACAAAACAAAAGAGAGAAATGCATTAAAGCTGAGAAAATAAGACGATGTTACTTTCAAAACAAATGGTGTGCAGGAGCTGCAAACTGCTAACAACAGCCCTTGACAACAATCTGAAGTGCAAGGCTTTTTCTAGGAAAGGAAATAAATTCACTACAAGGAAGTATGACTAAGTAGTCTATGCCCTAAATGTGACCTCTCTTTATAGAATCTGAGTAATGTCCTCTGTTTTTTTATAATACTCTATCAAAAGCTTAGAAATCATCTTCTCCCCACTTCATCTTTTCCACCAGGCACATATTATTTTCTTTCCCTAAAGGTGCAGCAGCCAACAACACTACAGTTTGTTTACCTGCCTCTTCCTTCTTGTCAAGAGGTGTGTACAGTTCTGAAAACACTCGCCACTGATGGAGAGTCAGAAGGGAGAATTGTGACAGTTTGGGATGCCAAAGCTATGGTTTATTTTGTTTAAAATTTCAAGGAGAAAAGTGGTCCATATGTATTAATAGCTGCTTAAACATAAAAACCTGATAAAACTGTATGCTATTGCAAAGTAAAACCGTGCCATTTAGAAAATGGCTGCTGATTATCAGTCAGGAGATACTTACTTGGCTTACGTGAACAGGCGTTAATATCAAATCCAGAACACCAGACCAGCCAGAGAAAACACCCAGTGGTATAGCATAGGCTAAAGCAATCATCAAGAATCGGAAATTGCTGTGAAGATAAAACATTGCAATTAGCTGCAGGTTATATTAGAAATCACACCAAGATTAGCCAGTACAGTAAATGACACCTTCTATATTCTGCCCATCAAGAAAAACAGCAAAGGTCTGACAGATGAGTGAGCCACGAAAATCAAGAAAGCCATGCCACTGAATTTCCAGTGGCTGATATGTTACTGCCTTAGCACAGTGATGATAGAAAAAGCCAGTTTCTCCACATAGTTCAAAGATTTCTGTAACATACTGGGCTCATGTGTTTCTCATTTCCGCAAGCAATTCTTCTGTGCACTGGCATGGGCAACCTCCTCAGCCACAGTGTAGGTTAGGAAGAATAAGCACTAATTTAAATGATGAAAAGCATATTTCAAGAATAAAATCAGAGCTTCATGCTTCTTGAACTGAACTTTAAAAAAAAATAAATCAAAAAGAAACCCTGTTTTATTTCTCTTTGTTTTAGTGAAAGCAGGGAGAGCTCTGGAAATTAGACTGGTAGAGTTGCAAGAGTGGAAAATTTTGACAATTCGAACAGGCAAAACCCAAAGATAATATAATATAATATAATATTCTGCTCTAAATAGTCAACATGTTTGCTTTTCCTCCCAATTAAAATTATTTAACCTTTAGTATTCAGGGAAGGTGAAACAGTCAAAACTTTGTCACCTTCTTCATCATATACAGCTAAACAGGGGTTTAGCCAACAACTTTCCCCACTCACCGTAACTGAAAGTAAATGTGAAATCTTTGCTAAGAGACATCCAAATTTTCCTTAAAAAGTGTTTCAATTTTGGATGAAAACCAGAGAATGTACTTTGGACTCTGCAACAGTGATATTTTAAAGTGAAGAGATTCTATGGTGATTCCAAGGTCAGTTATCCCATGGGGTATCTGTGTAACCACAAAATGTGGCTCCCTCCAATCCCAAACTATTTACGTAAAATTGATCCTGATCAGTACCAGTTCCTTGGCATGCAATGGCAATTTGATAGCACACAGTTATGAAAGCCAAGAGGGAGAGAAAGAAATTCGATTACTCTCCAAAACATTCAGAGGTTTGCAGCTTACACTGTTTTACTCCCCTAGATGATCCACGCACAGCACACCAGCCAGTGTTTTTTTGCACTCTTCTTTTTCACACATCTTTTCTTAAATAACACATTTTCATCACATGAACATATACTCTGCTTTCAATATCATTTGTGTCAGATTTATTTTTTAATGCAAAGAAAAACAACTCCCAAACTTTCATCTCTTCTACCCATTGGTTATTTTTCTCTGAATGCTATCGTTTTCCTGACAACTTTTTTTCTCTCTTAAGAATGCCATATTCTCATCCTAGTCTATCTTGTATCATCTTGGCATCTGATGCTATTTAATACTATCCACGTGAGAGCCAATTCAACATCTGTAAAATAAAATAAAAAGGAATTTTGCATGGACTTTAAATAGCCATGTTGTAGATTGCAAAGAGGGAACATGTCTGAATGCAGTCTTCCAATATAACGCTTGCTGAATATTCAAAATATTTGGCTACCTGAACCTCAGCTTCATTAAAGAGCTACTTTTGAGGAAGTGCAAACTTTGTAATGTATTTGACCAAAATTTCCCACGGTGTATTTTTTTTCTGTAACTCAAGCAACAAGATAGACTGTCATAGCTGCTCTGTGCCACATCCAACTCCTAGTACCAATCCTAGAGAACCAGCTCTGCATCATGACATCCTCCAATGACAGAGGCTGCCACCCTGCCTAGTCTCCAGCAGAAGTGAGGTGACCTGGAGAAAGGGTGCATGACAGTGACAAAGATCCCCAGACGTCATTCTGCCCCCTTGTCCAGCAACAGCTAGTGCTGCCTACATTAAGTGCTAAAGCTGGTTGAAACATACATCTTTCAGCAGCAGCTCTGCTTTTCATGGCTCCAGTCGCTTGTATTTGTTTTTGCAATTTTGCAATTACTCCACTGAAAATAGAAAAATGTGCTGTCTGTCACACCATCAGCTAGTGAACCCACACTGTTTTCCATCGTATCAGTGATGACGGGACATCAGCATTAGCCTCTCTTAAACCACTCTGCTGGAATACAAATTGATTTTTTCTCCTGTTTTTTTTTTTTTTTTTTTTTTTTTTTTTCAGAAACCTATCTAATGCTATCAGAATCTGTAAGACAGACTGGTTCAGAGGGGAGCCCCATCAAAGTCAGTCATCATTTTCAGAATAACTTTGACAGTGCCTATTAACATCAGGCACGCTCTGAGCAGCTTCCATTACTGGATTGTGATGTTGATGAAAGTTTCATTAAAGCAACAATGATGCATAAAAACCCTATTATAAAATTTCAAAATTGTTTACATAGTCCCTTGAAAATATAAAAGGCACATAACTGGCTAAAAGTATCTAATTACCTCAAAGCAAAAATCAAAACAAGTTTTCTTAATACAGATTTTAATATTAATCAACTATTTACTTGTATTAGGATTTTTTCCATTGAAGTTTGTGGCATATTCCGAACTGGGGAAAAAAAAAGTTGTATTTGCTTCACCCAAGAAACTGATAAAGGGCACTGCACTTTTTCTAACAGAAATTCAAACTACACTTGTCACAGCATGTGATAGACTGCTGAAAGATTTGGGCTTAGCACCCAAACCATGAGTAATCTGTCGTCTCCCACTGCAGGCTGAGAGAGTTGGTATCAGGAGATAACCAGAGATCAGCTAATTGCTATAATCTGTCAGAAGCAGGAATCCTCCAAATCAGAAGGAAGAATCAAGTTTCCTAAGGAAGTCCCAAAAAATGGCCTACAGGGGATGGTTGACCTTTGTGGATGGTATAATAGAACTCTGCAAGAAGCAGCTTGTGTAGATGACTGCCCAAGGACCTGAAGGCATGAAGGAGTATGGGATCTGAAAGGATGTGACAGATCCTTTTAGTGTCCAAGGTAAAAAGGTCAATAACTTCAATGGTAACATTATGCTATGCTGCTTTATTTTGAAGTAATAAAACTGCAGCCTGAGGGAAAGAAGAGGGAAATGATGAACATCTCAATTCTCATGAGTGTTTTTGGCACACAGTTGAGTCAGCCCACCAGCTCACACACATCCCAAATGCCTTACACACGGTTCTTATACCAGAGGGTAAGTCTACAGCAAGGGGAAATCATGATTTCTTAGTACTCATCTGCTGGTTACCTTCAGTCTACACTACTAAGTCAAAAGAAAGGCTCTCTGAGCCAAGAATTATGAAACCTAGATTAGGCAGGCAACAGAGTTTAGAAGCCTAATGAGCCAGATGATGGACTTCTCCTGAAGCATGGCAGACACCATTTTCTTCTATAAAACCCAGTTGCTTTGATGGATTGTTGCTGAAAGGCTCCTCAAGATAAGCAGGTTTAATGATGAATTGTTGATTATTTCATGTACAGAGGAATGAAGAAGTGCCTTTGATAAAGGGTAGCATGGAAGAATGCAAAAAGACCAGAGGGACAGGAGATATAATTATCTACCTGTCCATGCTTAAAAAAAAACCCTCTTGGTTCTCGGAGACACTATAAACTATGCTCATTATTTAAGAATACAGTTTGTTTTCTTCAGTTTCACTGGTTGAGAATAGTAAGCCACCTTTGTTGTTTATATCCTGACCTTACAGTATCTCAGGTCCACTGTTTACAATCCTTTTAACATGGAATCTACTGGTTAAAAAGCTCCCAAATGGAGCACTGTCAACGGAAATTTTATATTTCACCTGTGGAGCCAGTTGCTGTTTGGATTTCTGTTCAACGGCAACATTTTTACTACACAGCCTCAGGCAGGGTCCAACTGCACATCAGCTTGGGTGAGTAAGAACATTACTATATGTGCTAAGTGTCCTTAGGGGAACTGCTATTTTTTAATATCCTGAGTAGGTCACTTTGCAGACTTAACCAGTCAGCTGTACTCACACTATCTCCTGACTGCCACTGTGCTCCAGGATGAACATTCAGGATTAAGCATCTTGCCAACTATTTACCCCCCCAAACGACATAAGAAGCCTCCAAAAAGAAAAGGAAAAAAAAAACCAAACCAATGACAACAGGGGATGAGTTGTTTTCACTGCCTCTAAATACACTTATTGAAAGTATGGCCCACAATAGACCTTTTAATTGAATGGCTAATGCTCCATTACCATCAAGTTTCAAGCAGCCCTTTATATGCAGATTCAGCTTCTATCACTGCATCAGTCAACAAACAATTACAACAAGAGTCTGAAGCCTCCCTGTGAAGTCAGTCACACTCGGTACCATGGGAGCAGTTCTTTGCCCCAGGAAGTTCATCTTTGCAGTATCATGTACAGGGCACAGGCATTCACAGTTATCTATCATTAATATTACAGTTGTTTTAGCTGTTCCTTTAATATGATATTTCCATTACACAAGACATTTACAAACACTGGGGGGAAGTAGGTCTGTGTCTTACCAAAAGAGCCCAAGTGCAAAAAGCTGCAAAGCTGTCATTTTCTTTGTAACTTCTTTCTTTTTTTAAACCTAAGAACTTAAAGGAAGCTAACTAGTCTTTGAACCTGTCCAGAAACACATTTGGAGACATTTTTCCTATTCCCACTTCATATTTTAACATACTTAATGAGATTTAATTGATGAAATCACAATTTCAGATAGTTTGTTCACTGCTCCCATGGCTGAATAATCCTTCGAATGACAAGTAAACTCCAAATTCATTCCAATATAATAAGCACAGACAAACGCAGCTTAGTTAGTTAGGTTTGCCCAGTGCTGCTAATTGCTATCTCACAGCACACTGTTAACAACCTTGTATAACCTGCTGTAAAAGAAGCATTGTATAAAAAAAACCTGTGATAACAGGATGAGTAAAGCATTGTTGGTGCTAAAGGACTCTGGCATGAAGCCTTGAGATATACCCAGTGATTTAAAATTTAATGTCTGCTTTTCAGCAGTTAGCATCCTTTTATGCCTCAACATGAATAATTAATTTTATTTTGTTTAAAAGCACTACAAACCAACTTGTTTGCTCCATGAGAAGATTAAAGCGCACTTGTTTTTATTTATTTAGGTGCTGATCTGCTTTGAAGTGGAACCCAGTGAGGTCCTACCTTAACAGTCTGCAAAAACTTCTCCTGTAGCTGAGCCGCTGACTCGCTGCAGCGACGCTGGGAGGGAATGGAGGGCGCGAGGGGAAGTAGGCCAACGCTGCGGAAAATATCAGGGAAACCATTCCAAATTCTAAGCAAGAGGGCAAAGAAAAACAAAACCAAGAACGGATGTTAGCATCGACAGACTTATTTTGGTACACTGCTGCTACCAGCCAGCCCCCAAGACATAAATCCCACCACAAGTGCCTTAATGCCCCTGGCAACAGAACTCGGTAACTTGAAGGAGAATTTCTTTTTTCCCTCCCCAAACAAGATTTCAAATTGGGATGGAGAATCAATGAGACTGGCAGTGCATGCCAGTGTTAGGAGCTGCAGAGAACCGGGCTCACACATGGGGAACACAGGGAAGCAAAAGGAAACTGTTACTTTTTCTCCTTAAAGAGAACTGCAATATGAAGATTTGGGCACATTTCCTCACGATGGAAGTAATGCAGTGCAGATACCAGCAGGCCAGAGACTTTAAACAGATGGGACTGGGGAAGCCTCAGGGCATGGAATGACAAGTACTCATTGCACAAGATGATGAAGGCAAATGAAAGGTCAAGCAAGGCAGCAGTTCGGACACAAACAGATTTACGTGGCAACAGAAAATAAAGAGAAAAGTGCAGGAGCAGCCATGGCTCAAGAACAGAAAAAAAGTACAGGTAAGAGGGGAAAAAAAAAGAAATAACACAGCTGTTTGCAGATGCTCCTCTTGTTCAGCAGCAAGTATTCTAAATCTTTGAAAAATTTCATAGCAGAAGTTTGGAACTGAGCTTGAAAAGCGACGAGCACTTCAAAAAAAATACTCAGTAAGTCCCACGAGCAGACATTCTGAGGAAAAACAACTCTACCCACAGTCAGTCTAATTAGTTTTACAGGCATTTTGCAACGTATATCATGTTCTCCACAGTCCTCAATCCCAATATTTCTCCCACCCCCTTTGAAAACAATATTCTTTGCTGCTGCAGAGAAAAATGTATGGCTGAAGTGTGTTATCTTAAAAGAACCTGTGATCTTATAACAAAGAAGTGTTCACTGACACCACAAATAAATTCCAGCAGAGTTGGATACTCAATTGCGTTCATTTTCTTTTTCTTCTCTTTTTTAATAAATCAATATGAACATGGCGCTTTGCCAGGTCTTCTGCTAAACCAGAAGAAAATAAATTCAGGAAACAAATAACAGAGTCTAAATGGATCAGCTGGAGATGGGGAAAGGAAACGAATGCTTCTATTCAGTATATGGGAAAAAAGTCTACACTAAATTTCCTTTGAAGGCATACTGGGAATGTGACAATGCCATTCTTCACGATCAAATACTAAAAGATTCATTTTGAATCATGTGGTGTCTTTTCCTTCTCTAGTCTAACTGCATGTTTTGAGGGCCAAGGGCACTTTATCTCCTCTGCTCTCTGGAAAACAGATTCATTTCTATCTTTGTGTACATTGTTTCTGAAACCATGAGCAGTGAATAAAGAACTGGTCATAACTGATCATCCCTGAACTAAGAAAGGGATGAGATGCTTTGTCACTACAGAGCTGTTTAGTAAAAGCTGTTTATCTGCCTCTCCTGATTCTAGGTCTGCATACAGGTTTATAGCCATACATATGTACATGCATACACACATTTTAATCACATATTAAAGAAAGATTTCAGACTGCAGACAGGTATAGCCAACAAGAATGTGATCACACAAACTTGTAAGTTTTGTCCAAGGTACTAATTATTTAACTTTGTTATACTGTAGTGCTATAAGGGAAAAGGCTAGATCTTTTTCTGAAGAATGCAAATGATGATAATTTTTTTAAGTCACAGCAATATTTTATAACAGGTGCCCATCTGAGGCCTCATCTGTGTGCTGCCTCAAGATTTCTGCCAGTCAAATTGCTGCAGCAGAAGCAGTATAGTAACATCTTCTATTTTTTTCTTTAATTATTAAATTCAGCATACTGTCCTTGTAGTACCTCCTTGCACCTCTGCAACATTTCCCAGTGTTACACTTTCCAGGCTAACAAATCTGCCTAGCTAGCTCTGCCCTCATGCACAAAAGGAAAGTGCAGAATGCCCTTTGGAAACTAAAGCAGCTCCCTCTATTGAAGAACAGAAGTCTTCAGTGCCATCTTAGCTTTGTGAATCACACCTACATCAGAAGTCCAGGTACTGTCAAACACATTCAATTTCTTACGTGATGAATTCCTTCCTCATTAGGAAACCTACACCTTTATCTCCCTCATCATTTACTTTTTCAGACTAGATAAAGAAAAATACAATATAAAACTTGTCTTAAAGGTCTTCCACAGGGGTAGCAGGCTTCTGAAGAGGACAATGGATGCAGCAATGTACTCAGAATTGGGCAAGACATAAATCAGTGTGCAGAAACACAGCTGTCTATCTCTTGTTGAGGAGTGAACCTGGAATGCTTTACAAAAGCTGGGTACCACACCACAGTGACTTGAGACTGCCAAAGTGGATAGATACCTGCATCTTAGCCTAGGAAGTAGACATCCTGCTGCTTGCTTGTGTAAACCCCAAAGAGAAAAAAGAAAAAAAGAGGTTTAACAGAGACAAAAGCCTCCTTGATAGAACATCTTTTCCCTTCAGATAGGCTACTCATAGCACAAAAACCTACTCAAACTCAGAAACCTTTCTCCCCACCTTGTCCTGTAATGTAAAGGGGGAATGAGGGCCCTTTACACAGATGCACACATTTTATATTTTTTTAACAAACAATGATTTTACATTGTTATTTAGGAAAGCACAAGGCTGAGAGTTCTGGCTGCAATCCAGAATAATTCAAGCTTCCTTGTGCGATTCAGGTAATACAATTCAATCCTGATTTGCTATATCTGTACTATTTGAGCTGTGAACCAGAATGTGCAGCGACACAGATGACACAGAAAGAGGCTGCGGTAATTCAACTGAGCTCTTAGTCCGCATTTGAGATAAAGGAAGAGCAATTTATTAAAACACAGAAGAGACTGGAGTTAACAGAGCAGTTTCAGAATGGGTTTATAAGCAATTGCTTCGTAATCATGTTTGAGGTTAAGTCCTCGGAAAATTTGAAAACTCTTGGCACACTACTGATCCCAACTTAACAATTCACATCATTACTGCCTTTTAAAAGACATCATCTAACATTTGAAGGCTGCTTATCTAATACTACCTCACACAAAAGCAACAAGCTCCATCATAAACACAACTCCATTAGAAATGCAGTGTGCTTATCCTGTGAAACTGGCTTTCCCATAGGATCCAAAATGAGAAGTCATACTAAGCCTGGCCACACTTGCTAAAGAAGTGGGGAAGTGGGATATTTGGGTCAGCTCCTTGTTGTGCTATATTCTCCAGAACCTTTGCTAGTAATCTTGGAAGTCAATTTGAGGCAAGTTTTCTGACCAGCCGATTTAAGGGACAAACAGTACCCTACCACAGCTACCAGGTATTTTTTGGCCCACAGGTGAACAGAACTGTCTATACATTACACGAGGCAGTTGCCCACCGTAAGGCAGCCTTCCTTCTACCTCTGGAGCCCACCTGGCACAAGAGAGCACAGAGGAGGCAGTCAGCGGGGACCCTGTGCCTTCGGCTTTCCAGGGAAACAGGGCTGAAGTAAGACAGGAGAAATCCCACGAGGGATTCCACACAACCTCCTCTTTGACAGCTCTTGCCAATTTTAAGCCAGTTGGAGGTTTTGCCATCATCACTGTGATTCACTGCAGGCCAGCACCATTCACAAAACAGCTCTTCGTCATTGCCTGAACAGCTAAAGAGGTTTCAGCTCCTGAAAAGATGCACCCTGTAGGACACAAACACAAGCACACAGAATCCACCTCTGTTCAAAGCACTTTCAAATACTAAGTGAAAAGTGCAGATGCCCCTCAAAACACATTTCCTAGGAAGATGAAGAGCTGCTGTAGGATCATCTCATGCTGGGATCAGTGATTCCAAACAAGTCTACGGGGTGTTCCGAAGCCCTTGTCAGCTCAGACAGGCATAAAGAGCCATGCTAAGACATGGAGCAGGCAAGACACACCTAACCTTGGTGGCAAGATCCATCCCTGTTTCTGAAGAAAATGCTTAGGAAAACCTCCCTAAAGAGAACAGAAGAGAATGTGAATCTAATGGGCTGCTGAAAGCAATACTTCTAGTGCTACCAGATCCAAACCAGTGGTTTCAAGCACAAAGCAGTACTTTCTTTAGGCAGATGAATTCTTCTCACTCCATAGAAAATCTGAAGAGGTAGAGCTAAAGCCCTTCTCTAACTGCTAGAGTTTTCCTCTCCTTATCTACTGCTCCTCAGGACAAAACCTGACTTGCTTTCATTCTTCCTTCTTTCATATTAGCCGTTCTCATCTGCCATGAGATTTCCACAGTCTAACACCATATTTACTAGTGAACAAGGCTTAACCAAACCCAAATTTAACTGTTGTTCCATCTGAGTCCAGTAAAAAGTAGGTTACTCAAAAATACTTGGTGAAATAGTGATTCGACTTCTATTACACTTTTTTTAAAATGAACAGTAAAGTGACCCTCTCCCAACAGGAATATTAACTTGACAAAATTTCTGCAAGAATAACGTCCAGGAATAAATGATCACAAACAGCCAACTCAATTCCATAAACCTCCATATAAACTACACAGTATATGTACTTTAAGACTTCTGGAACACTTAGGGTTATCTCCTCGCTGAATTTCAGAGGCTGTAATCATAAGGGGGGGAAAATCCCAATCAAATGTGCAACCATCATGACACGGTAAAGAGTTGATCTGCTCTGAATGCTATACCAATTTATATCCTTTAAGAATCAGAACATAGGCTCCTAAGCCACTTAACCAACTCATTTTCCTTAAAGTTTGCTGCTGAGTTTTGTAAGTGACATAAAGAGATGTAGAAGCCATTGCAAGAAAAAGAGCAAAGACATAAAATCCAAGTTATATCAGGTGAATTTTATATCAGTGTTTTTTTCCACTAAACTGTTGCCACGTCATTGAAATTGCTCACCAATATGAATTATGTGGTTTTAGCTAAAAATAAAATCTATTTCATTTTAATTTCAGTGTTAGATTCTTAAATACTAATAATCTAATCACATTTGAAAGGCATATGCAAATCATAAATTAAGGCTGATTTAATGCAGGGAAGAAATTTAATGCTAAAAGACTATTGGATTTCCATCCTTACAGACACAACAGAAAAAAACCCAACATGTCATGGACACATATTTTTAATGAAAATATAATAAGCAAAAACCAGTTTGGAAGCTCAGGGAAAGTGTAAGCTCTCCTAGGAGACATTTCTCCCAAGATCAGCCGATATAAACAACTATTACTTCCTTTGGAGTCAGCCTGTACAATAGGCTATTTTTAAATCTTTCCTACACAGAAGGGGAAAAAACTAACCCTTCTGACTGTACAATACATTACCACTTAATTATTTTCACTCAGTCGGAAGCCGGTTCCTGTGCAAACCAGCCACTAGAGGGTACTGGTTCACAAGTACCAAACACACATGAACGCATGCACATTTTTAATATTTTCTTATTTTTTTAATATTTATTTTTAAGCCACACCTGCATACAGCACAGCCTCGATGCGGTCCTTGATGTGCTCGGTGCTGCTCTGCGATGCCAGCAGGAGGTGAGCTGTCCCATTAGGAGATGGCACCACCAGAGGCCCCACCAGGAAGGCGCCAGCAGAGCCCAGGTAATTGAGCAGCGAGGCGATGGCTGTCGCTGTGGCACGTTCGTCCGGAGAAAACCACGTTGTGGAAAGAAATGGTGCCGCATTCATCACGGTTGGCCCCGCCAAGCCATTTAACAGCTGCCCTCCGTGAATCAGCCTGGAATAGAGAATACGCCACAGCCATTTGGATGACAATTGCTTGCCCTTTTTGGGGGGTTTTTAATTAAAAAGGTATGTGAGATATTGAGTGCTGGAGATGGAGCAACTGCACAAAGAAATGAAAGTACTGTGGAAAAAAAAGGATATTCTATACACTAAAAGAAGCCCAATTTGATTGATTTAAAGACTCATGAACTACTCTGGTCTCATTACCTCATATAAATGGAGAAGCAAATGTTCTCTTCAAAGGAGAAAAGGAAAAGGGAACAAAAGGGACTTTCTTTGCATCAAAAAGGCACCATGATAGGATATAAAAGTAGAAAAGGCGTAGTAGCAGCAGCAAAGCTTTAAATTACAAACATCTTAAATCTGACCCCTTGCATGCATAAATCCCGATAGAAGATTTAAATTAGTTATGGCAGATCCAAAATTGAAACAGTTCAGCAAAATAATCTGCATATTTTTTCACTGCATTATTTATTTTTATTTACGCACTCAGATGAGCTTTATGTGCCTACAGATGAGGAGGCCGGGCTGTTAGGGTTTCCAAGAGAATCGTCTTCTCCAGCAATCTGGCCATTCTCAACATACTGTTGAAACAGCCAAGCAAACCCAGATTTTTCTCGTTTTTCACACTCATTGGGATTTAACAGATAAGGCTGGTGACAGAACAGAGATAGTACTTCCAAGCAGTGAAGTCTCTGCAAAGTTTGGCTTAATATCAATGAGCACATACAGAAAGGACTTTCTGAAGGCTCTCCTACACATGGAAGTCAGCCAGAAATCTTCCACTTTGACTTTTCCAAAAGGTGATTAGCCATGAAAGGCAACAGTATTTTTGAATTTATATAAAAATTTCATGCCTAAAAAAGAGCTAGAGAGTCAAACAAGGCATTGCAACCCTCCAAAGTAGATCTATTCAATATGCAATGAAATGGTGGCAGATGATATTTTCAAATGGGTGGTGTTTTTCTAACCATAGCAGGAACTCAGTGTTATTGCTGCAAGACTTGAGTTGTCAGACATAAAAAGCTATGGCCTGAAAATAGGGAAACATAAGCCACCATTTAGGCACTGTTTCAAGCCACAAATGGCTGAACAACATACAGTGTAGCAGGCACACAAAGGAACAAATATGCAAAAGAAATGCCAACAAAGTCTTTATCGAATTAACAAGAGAGATTGCAATACAAAGGAATGGATACTACCAATTCTCAGATAATTAGAAATTAAATTTTTAAACAAAATTTATAAAAAGTATACAGGAAAAAAAAGCTATTACATATCATCTGAAGGAAACCTCTTCTGAGTTGGGACAGAAGCAATATAATATCCTCTCCTACATATCTTTTTGAGGTGGACAGATTTCATTACTACTGTTCATGATGTACTTCATGATGGACATCACCAAGGCATGGTCAGGCCTTCTGAATGCTTGTTAAACTGTGACACACACACACACTCTCTCTAAACCAAAATGAAATAGTTTTAAATAAATAAAAAGCACTATCTAAACAACACTGATATAGTTTTCTGGAGGACACAGTACATCAATCCCCTAAGATTACTCTTCAGTGTACTTTGGACAAACCAAGGTATCCTTGTGCACTTTGGTATTTTCATTCTACTTACGTCACTACAGGAAGTTATTCTCAAACTTCTTCTAAACTGTTCCAGGGTATTTGCATGGCTATGATACATCCCCAGGAACAGCTGCATTTCAGTAGCAAGTGAGGTAACTATTGCAAAATATACAGATTTTATTTTAGTAAATATTGCTCCAAAGTAAATTTAATGTTTAAATCGTGGTTTAGTTATTGTATGTTTGGGAAACTGCATCATCAGAAAATAACATGTAGGCATTTCATCTTGTAGAAGAAGAAAAGTTTTGCAAAAAAACCCCAAACCACCAAACAAAAACCCGCAATTTATCGACTGTGAGAATTATACATACTCTTATCATGTACTTCAGATTAAGATTCTGTCTATCAAACTCTACCATCTCAATAAAGATCTATAATCAACCTTCATACTTGAGGGAGAAACAGATGTTAATGTTACTTTGCAGATCCCAAGGGAGAAAGTAGTACCTTAATTCAGAATTTTAATTCTGTATTATCTTTCTGCCTTTTTTTTGTTGGGTTTTTTTGGGGTTTTTTAGAAAGAGCAAGCCAATTTTGTCTCTCTATAGGTCTCTTCTGTTGGTGTTCTCCTGGCTGCTGTCCCTCCAGCCTTGCCCTGCCTGGTGTGCTGTCTGTTCCCATGGATTTTCCCATGGTCTTTCCATCTGCATTTCTGACATTTACCAAGCTTGACATTATCATCCAGGGTAGAACATCTCGTATCTTCATATTGCCTAATTTTTCAAGTCTAACCTATTTTTCAGACTAAATTGCCATCAATATACAGACTACTACCTCCAATAACTGCATATGATAACAGCCTAAGCCCTATTTTATCTCTTTTTCAATACTGGTTTGAATTAAGCTACTTTTTCCTGAGAAAAAGATTATTTGCATGGTTCCTCTGCAGAACTTTAACTCATTTCCCTAGAGAGGCAGGGATGAGAGATTCAAAACACAATTCAGAGCATTAACTAAGCTGCTGTTCTGGGAGATGCATGTAGCAGCCTCTCCATTTGACAGAGAAATATGAACACAACAGTACTGGTGGCTCTTTGCTGTTTGTTACAACATCTTATCAGCGCTGTGCTAGATTTTGGTCTCACAGCCCATGAGTCTCCTCTTGTACACCATCGGCGCTAAAAATTGCTCCAAGACCAAGACAGGTTTGTTTCTGTTATTCCCTAATTTTCTTCTTGTTTCTGCTACCAAAAGGGTGTAAAGAGCACTGCATTTTTTTTTCCTGTCACTATTCCAGTTTCATTCTGCATAACAAGATTTCTCTTTCCTAAGAAAAGGGCTAAAAAGATAACTTTAGCTCATAGCCTTACCCAGATAGAAAAATATTTTTCAGTCTCATTACAGTAGCACAGTAATGTTCATCTGTTATTTATCCAGCTCTGCTGTTTTCAGATGCGTTATTTATCCAATCATCATTTAATTATTTCCATGTATCAAAAAGTAGAAAGTTATTGAGTTCAAATGACAGAAAATAATACAAGAGTAGAAGGCTTCTTAATCACAATCATGGAAGAGAATACTGGAAAAAACTACACTAGAAATTCATCCTCAACTTACACAATAATTGATGACTGACTGGTTTAAAGCAAAAGTGGGGAAGTAAACATCTACCCAAAATATCTTGTTTTAACCATTTCAGAAGCCAGGTCAGGACTCATTTTGAAATGTCAAGGTTTTTGCACATCTGATCTCTTTTCTAATGAATCTGTGTGCTCCACCAAACTTTGAACTTGCAATTGAGCATGAGCCCTTTAAAAAAAAAAAAAAAGAAGAAAAATTATTTGAGGACTGGTAGTAAATGCTAGTGTGAAATATCATTGCCAGAGCATCACAGTAATGGATAACTTATACATTTATATTATGTATTTATCTATATATAAACAAAACACACAGACATATTCACACATACCCCTTTTACATGAAATAAAGATCATTTCTGTTCCTAAACTGAACTGCAAAAAAAATAGTACAAGGGACAGTTCAAATACAGCAATAGAAATTAGAGTAGAAAAACACTTACTGTACTATATTGTCACCTCTTTTCCAATTTTTTTGTCAAGTCACATTATAAATAACTTTAATTATATGGTTTTCATCACTTCCCTGACAGAAGACTTTACATTAGTATTAAGAACTAACCTGGTTATACCTGTTTTATTCACTCCGTGCTATCACTACTGCAATATCCTAACAGGCAGCAACAAAGAAAACCATGGAAGGCTATAAATGCTGAAATTACAATATCACTAAGAAAACTGGGTATGGAAAAAAAAGTGAGATTGTAGACAAAAAGGTTTTAGTGATTGATGATAATACCATCCAGTTAAGATGGGAAAGCACTTCCATTTACAGTCAGCTTTATTTATCTTTTTCTCCCTGTATGAGTTGAAACTTTGCATGCATGGTCACAGTCACATCAGGTACTGGATTTGTTAAGCTATTTAAAAGCTGTGTGTTACATAAACACTTTTTCTAGGTAAAAAACCCAGACATTTAGTGTTTCTACCACTGTATGTCTCATGCCTGGACTTAAGAGAATTTTAAACGAAAGAAAATCTCATTAGTTTCTGTAGTCAGATGGGGAAACAAAGGCAACAGTAGAGGAAAATTACTTACTCAAAAAATTACTTTTAACACAACGGATTTAAACCACAACACCAAAATAAGCCCCCACAGCTCAGCTCCAATATGTTTTAATTTGAGTTTGTTCTGGGAAGGCTAAGACTGGAGAAGCTGGTATTTTAACACTGATCAACAGTGTGGAAAATGCATTTTCACCTTTTTTTTGGCAGACAACATGGGAAGAGCAGGGCTGTCAGCCCCAGGGTGCTGCTCTGACTCTCTAAACATGATGACCACTGGTCAGCTGGGAAACCCACTTCCTCTGGGTCCTAGGAGGGAGCAGAGCTCAAGAGCCTTGTAAAAATGTGATTTTGGTGCAGATTTTTTCCCTGAAACTTTTACCATGCTTCTCCCATTAGCTGTCCGTAGAACTGACCACTTAGTCGCTATTCAAACTTCTATACAAAAGGAATGAAAATAAATTATAATTCAGTTTTGCCACTGTTGGGCAAAGTGTGAGGAGCAACCAAGTCACTGAGAGTGCCAGTCTGCTGCTGCACGAAGACAGCGCTGTAGCATGCTTTTAGCACGGAAAAGTTTAGTAGATGAACTGCTGATCCTAACAATTAATGCAAAAAGCAATTCTGGATAAAGAAGTTAATGTTTTACAGAAATGGATGGCTAATATTTCTTTCACATGCCTGACAACTTCACTCATTGAAAGAAGTGGATCGTTCAACTCCTGCTAATTTGGAAGACAAATAGTTTTATGTAGCAATTAGCTCACTGTGGG